GCTCGGACAAACTCAAGAACATGTGAGTGGCTTGAGTTGGATTTGTGCAATCTCGTTTTCAATGTTTAATGGTGCATTCGAGATTTTCCTTGCGTGTTTGAGCTATAGAACATGTTTAGGGTTGTTAAACTGTGTTTAATTAGTGTTTAGAAGCCACCCCGAATCGATTCGGGTGAGAAAAATCGAGTTGAAATCGGAGAAAATCGCGAGGAAGAAGAAGGTTCCAGTCCCGGTCCGCCGGACCATCCGTGGTCAGCTCCGGACCAGGACTGGAAAACACGTGCAGTCCGCCGAGCCACGGGAAGAGAAGGCGGACCGAGGGAAGAGCACGCCCGGTCCGCCGGACCAGACCCTGGTCCGCCGGACCAGACATGTTGAAGGAAGCCGCACACCGTCGGACCAAGGGAGCGGACCGAGAGAGAAGGATCGGTCTGGTCCGGGGCTGACCAGTCCTGGTCCGCCGGACCAGACTTGTTCTCTCTCGGGCCGACGGACCAAAAATGACGGAGCGGACCAGGGGAAGAAGGAGACCTGGTCCGGCTGACCAAACTTGATCAGCTCCGGACCAACACACTGAGAAATCATTCTCATGCTTGTTTCGGCCAAATCTCAACTCCTTTCTTCGGATTCTTCACATATTAGTCCATCCCTAGTGGTGTGTGACCATGTAGGCCCATTCTAAGTGGTAGTGACTTCAGAACCTTTCCCGAACCACAAATCATGGTTAGCCTCTAGCAAGACGCCATGACCACCCACTTAAAATTGAGTTAGAGGTGATTTAACCAAGGCATTAACGGCTGGAGTTCTGATCCTTTGTCTCACGATATCATATGTTGAACAAGGGCATGGTTTGAGCCACCCTTCAAGTTCAACCGCTTTCTCGTCTTGGCAAATCGACTAATAAAATAGATGCAACTTCATCTATAGCGTGGCCACGCGTTTTTCATAGTTCGACTTCCGCGAGAGGGCCCAGCAATATCTCTCCTATTAAGGAGGTGACAAGTCCGGTATTGCATGTCTACTATCTCCATATGATTCGTGAACGTATCTAATCAACGCCGTTACAATCATCCGGTTAAAGATGACATTTGACGCAGTCAAGACACGCCACTCCTCATATCAGATACTCTAGACTTCTTAGGTATGAGGATCCAAGAACGAACCGGTGTGTGAGATTCAAGTCATGACTCTGTCCATGTGACAATCTCATGCGGGTCATCCAGTCACTCGTTCACAACGAGTACCCATGATTGTGATATACATCCAATGCATCGATCCCACCTCATGCTAGTCTTAATTCATCATTGTTCCCACAATGATAAGTGGCCAGGGAGTTTAGAATCATTCTCTAATGATTCAAGGATGCCGAAATATAACAAACATGCCAATCATATAATGGGAAGAGTAATGCATTCATAAACCAATGAATCAATACAAAGTCAAAATGTCATATCACGGATCATCCTAGAGCATTACAACCAATAATGAATGGAATGGATAAGAGCTTAACCGAACTGCATGGGATGCTAGTGTCGGCTGAGCAAAAGATTAAGTCTGAAAAGAGCATCCTTGTCGTACAATTTGGAAAGAGTTCTAGGAAACGACCACGAGGAAAAGGAAAGGGTAAGGAATCGGCAAAGATGGCAAAAGTTGCTACGTTGCCGATGTCCAAACCCGACAAGGGAGAATGCCACTACTACCACGAGGTTGGACACTGGCGTAGGTATTGCAATCTCTACTTGGAGGATCTGAAGAAGAAGAGGCTTGTTGAAGCGTCATCTTCATGTATCAACGTTATAGAAGTTAACGTTTTGTCTTCTTCATCTTGGGTATTGGATACCAGATGTGCCTCACACATTTGTGGAAATGTGCATGGTCTGTGAAGAAGTAGAACGTTGGCGAGAGGTGAAGTGAATCTATGCATCGGAAATGGAGCAAAGGTTGCTGCATTGTGTGTTGGCGACTATGATTTACTTTTACCGTCTGGACATGTTTTAGAATTGCGTAATTGTTACTTTGTACTTGCTATAAGCAGGAGCATCATTTCTATTTCTTGTCTAGACTTGGATGGTTTTGAGTTTTTTATTAAGAATAAGATTCTTTCGATATATAAAGACAATGTTTTATATGGTACTGGTTAATTATTTAACGGTCTTTATGCGTTGAGTGATGAACCATCTAATCTGATCTATAACATCGATATGAGGGGTTACAAGGAGAACTACTTGAACCCAACCTACCTTTGGCATTGTCGTCTCGACCATATAAGCGAGAAACGCATCGCCAAACTCCATTCAGATGGTGTTTTGGATCCATTTGATTGTGAATCAATGGAGGCATGCGAATCTTGTTTATTAGGCAATATGACAAATAGTCCTTTTATTGGAAACGGAAAACGTGCGGATGAGTTCATTACTCTGATACATAGTGATGTATGCAGACCAATGAGCACGCCCGCCAGAAGAGGTTATTCTTACTTTGTTACCTTTACTGACGATTACAGTCGTTACGGTTATATCTACTTAATGAGGCATAAATCTGAAACGTTTCAATTGTTCAAGACGTTTAGAAATGAAGTAGAGAATCAACTTGGCAAGAGTATTAAGATACTCCAATCACATCGTGGTGGTGAATACATGAGCCAAGAGTTCACTGACTATTTTAGAGATTGTGGAATCGTTTCACAATTGACTCCAGCCGGAACACCTCAGTGGAATGGTGTTTCTAAGTGGAGGAAGCGAACCCTATTGGATATGGTTCGCTCTATGATGAGTCAGACTGATCTTCCAATATTCTTTTGGGGATACGCTCTTGAGACTGATCCTTATATACTGAACAGAAATCCTTCGAAATCGGTTCAGAAGACACCATATGAGATATGGGTTGGGAAGAGTCCCAAAATGTCTTAGCTAAGGATTTGGGGTTGCGACGTTTACATGAAACGTCACTTTCTAATAAGTTGGGACCCAAATCTGAGAGATGCTTGTTTATTAGTTACCCCAAAGAAACGAGGGGATACTACTTCTACAACCAAAATGAGAACAAAGTGTTTGTTGCTCGAGATGAGACTTTCTTGGAACGAGAATTCATTTCTAAGAAAACTAGTGGGAGTAAAACTGATCTTGGAGAAGTCCAAGAGTCATGCACTGAAGCTGGACCTAGCGAAATAGTTGAAACGGTTCAACCTATATCGCAACCCGTTGTGACTTTGCCTGTTGTTGATTAACCTCGGAGATCGAGCAGGATCCGATATGAGCCCGATAGATATGGATTTATCGTGACTGGAAATGATGAACTCGTGCTCATGAAGCACGGCGAGCCCACATCATATTCAGATGCTATGTCAAACCCGGACTTTGAGAAATGGCTCGAGGCTATGAAGTCTAAGATGCAATCCATGTACGAAACCAAGTATGGACTTTGGTTGATGCATCTAAAGGGGTAAAACCCATCGGATGCAAATGGGTTTTCAAGAAAAAAACTGACATGGATGGCAACGTGCATACCTATAAAGCACGATTGGTGGTGAAAGGATTTCGACAAATTCATGGTATTGACTATGACGAAACCTTCTCGCCCGTCGTTATGTTTAAATCCATTCGGATACTCATTGCCATAGCCACATATTACTACTATGAGATATGGAAAATAGATGTCAAGACCGCATTCTTTAACGGGAATCTGCTTGAGGATGTGTACATGACACAACCCGAGGATTTTGAAGATCCTGAGCATCGAAGGAAGGTATGTAAGCTTCAGAGGTCCATTTATAGACTGAAGCAGGCTTCAAGAAGCTGGAACCTGGGTTTTGATGAGACAGTCAAAGAGTTTGGCTTCTTGCAAAACGAGGATAAACCACCACTACAAAAAAAATCACCGAATTCCAACGGATTTGTCCGTTGGAAATTTTCCAAGGGATTTTCAACGGCGTTTCAACGGCGATTTTCGTTAAAATTCCGTTGAAATTGCCAACGGATATCCGTTGGAAATGTCCGTTGGAAATTTTTAACGGAATTTTCAATGTATTCAATTGAAAACTTGGGTTGAAAATTTCCAATGGTATTTCCAACGGATATCCGTTGGAAATTTTCAACGGATATCGGTTGGAAAAATCGGTTGGAAATGTCCAACGGAATTCCGACGGATGTTGGTTGGAAAAAAATTCCAACGGAATTCCAACGGATACCGGTTGGAAATTTTTTTGGAAATTTTTAAAAAAAAATTCCAACGGAATTCCAACGGATACCGGTTGAAAATGTTTTTGGAAAATTTTAAACAAAATTCCAACGGATATCGGTTGGAAATTTTTTTGGAAATTTTTAAAAAAAAAAATCAAACGGAATTCCAACGGATATCGGTTGGAAACTTTTTTAGAAAATTTTAAAAAAAATTCCAACGGAAATCGGTTGGAAATTTGGATTTTAATTAAAAAATCAATTGAAAAATCTAATATATATATATATTGGATGGCAATAATCATTGGTGGTTTCCGTATGATCTTAACAATGAACGGTCAGGATTTTGAATTAAGGAAAAGCACAAGCCAGAGATAATATATTATCGTCAGCATCACAAAAACCTCACTTTTATTTTTTATGTGAGAATTGGAATTTTTTAACTAGAAACGTTAGACATCATATTATTGTGGGGGAAACAAAAGATCTACAAGGCCCATACGATTGGGTCGTGTAAGCAAGAGAATTAGAGAAGCGTAATTGTGGTCAAACTAGAAGGGATAAACCCTGATTGGTTGGATTTAAGACAACATACAAGCAACAACTACACACGAACCCAGATTTATAGGTTTCTTGATTCTTTCACGGCAAACAGCTCATATTTTGTGCTTTTGCCGAATTTATTGGTGGTTTCGGGGGGCAGTCTTAGTTTGTAGATTCAGCCCTTGATCTTAGGCTTCTTCACGATCATGACCGAGCAATGAGCGTGGTGAGCACAGTAGTCGCTCACGCTCCCCAGCACCGCCCTGCCAAAGAGACGAGGAATTTGTATCCATTTAGGGAGTGAGTGTCGTCTTCTAAGAAGAGAGGACAGACTCATGGCGACAGAAAGGGTTTAAAGATGAGCACATACCTCTTGATAGCTCCGTACCCGTGGCTGCCTACGACCAGAACAGAAGCATGGTGTCTCTCCACAACTTCACAGAGTACATTTCGGGCATCCCCTTCTATAACTTCCACTGTCGCGTCGCTTACCTGCAGAGCATCGCCCGTGTTCATTACGAACGATGATACAATCGTAATACTGCTCAGCTTAAAAGTTTTTCTACTGTACTTTTGTCTCATTCAGAATTCGTGCAACAAGGTACAAGAACAAGCATTTCAACAGTCCACAACCACAATAACTATACATAGAGACTATCCTTCTTACGGAAATCATCGAATAGCAATTATGACCGAAAGGAAACAGAGACGTGATTTCCATTATAAAAAAAAATGAAAAACGGGAGACAATGATCGAGTACCGATCTGCTGTGACAAATCTCCTTAGCTTTCTCAACGACTCTGGCAGCAATCTTCTTCAAATCGGCGTCAACAAAAGGCACAACCTCCGCAGTTCCTAGAAAAACCGTCAGAAGCAGTAATCAAAAACCAAATCAAATCCCAAATTTCTTAGTCGAAAGATCGTTTCCATGAGTGCGACCAAAAAAATAAAAGTAACATTACCGGGACCGGCGAGACCGATGGCGGAGATGGCGGAAGGTTTAGCATGGACGATGAGAAGCTTAAAGGGGGAATTGGGAGAATAAGGAGCGAAGAAGTGGTCGAGAGTCCACTCGAGGGCGTAGATGCTCGGCTCGCTCTCGTCGACGCCGACGATCATCAACTGCTTGTGATCTCCCGTAGCCATGGCTGCTCTCTCTGCTTTAATCTCAGGCTATTGGTACTGGCTGGGCTTGTGTGCGTGAGGATAACGCTCGATAATGGTGGAAGAATCCGAAGCTGGAGAAGGTTTTTAAGCACAGTGACATGTGGGGGTGTGCAAGATGAATACGAAACTTGCCTTCCTCCTTTTTTTTTTCTTTCTTTTTTAACTTTTTCGAACTTTAATGACGTGGCCGCCGCAGTGCGAGTATGGAAGAACATCTAGCCCGTTTTGTCGTGTTGTCGACGGCGTTTCTTCCCAAAAAAAATGGATGTATTACAAATGGGCCGAGAATGGACTAGGCCCATGAAATCACATTCTCTGATTTTATATTTTTAATAAAAATATAATTAAAAAATTTCCGTTGCCGGGACTCGAACCCGGGTCTCTCGGGTGAGAGCCGAGTATCCTAACCATCTAGACTACAACGGATCCGTGTTTCAGGGAAAAAATATGTAAACATAGAATACTGTTAAATTTCACCGAAGCCACCGTCGAGGCAACTCCCTCGTCAACTTCACCGTGGCTGAAGGCCAACAGCCTTGTAATCACTTCAAAACTCTTAATGTTGCGTTGCATATTTTTTTTAGATATTTGTAGATAATAAATTGATATATTGAAATATAATTACTATTGAAATGCATTGTTTTCTGTTTAAATTACACAGAGTTTTGGAAGGAATATTGCATTGGGAGGAGAAAAAAAAAACAACGGAATACTGTAAACAAAATCTTGACGAGACGTTGAGGAAAGCACGAAGCCGTGCTCACGTCTCGTATCTTATTCCTTTTTGTTTTTCTTATCCACGCCGCTTCTATCCGAATTCCGATTTCTCTAGAATCCTCCAAAATCTCTCTTCCATGGCCACCGTCTCCGCTTTCTCCTCTCCTGCTTGGCAAAACCCTGATTCCGATTCAAACCCTAATTCCACCTCCGCCTCCGATTCAGCTCCTCCTCTTCTCCCGCCCCAGGATCGCCACGACCCCACCGACTCTCTCGATTCCTTCTCCTCCATGAGTCTCCAGGACGAGGAGCTCACTCGGCAACTGGATCCCAACAGGGACCTCAACGCTCACACCACTCTCTCTCCGCCGCAGCATTCACCGGCGACGCCTCCGCCTTCCCTGTTCTACCTCTCCTTTAACCAGGATCACGCTTGCTTCGCTGCTGGCACCGATCGCGGCTTCCGGATCTATAACTGCGACCCTTTTCGCGAGATCTTCCGGCGAGATTTCGATCGCGGCGGTGGGGTCGGTGTAGTGGAGATGCTTTTTCGGTGCAATATCCTGGCCTTCGTTGGCGGTGGTCACGAGCCGCAGTATCCGCCCAATAAGGTCATGATTTGGGACGATCATCAGAGCCGCTGCATCGGCGAGCTCTCATTCAGGTCCGATGTGAGAGCGGTCCGGCTCAGGAGGGATCGGATCGTCGTTGTTCTCGAGCAGAAGATATTTGTGTACAACTTCGCCGACCTGAAGCTGATGCATCAGATAGAGACCATCGCGAATCCTAAGGGTCTATGCTCCGTTTCTCAGGGAGCTGGGGCGATGTTGCTCGTATGCCCTGGTTTGCAGAAGGGTCAAGTTCGGGTCGAGCATTACGCGTCGAAGCGGACTAAGTTCATCATGGCCCATGATTCACGGATTGCTTGTTTCGCGCTCACGCAAGACGGGCACTTGTTGGCCACGGCGAGCACCAAAGGCACTCTGGTTCGGTTGTTTAACACTGCCGATGGTACGTTGCTCCAGGAGGTACGCCTTTCGCGCTTAGCCTTTGCCTCAAGGACGTTAAAGATAATACGACCTTGGTATTGGAATGTGAAAATCTGCTGCTACTTGATATTGCAATGCTTTTAACTTGGTAGTAGTTTAGCTACTCTTTTGATTGATAGCTCTTTAAGTTCGTAGACGTGGATAGGTTCTTTTAGTTACTTCGGGAGTCTATTCTGAGCTGATCCGCTTGCTGGGTTCCATACCCATCGAGCTTTAGTCTCCTGTGGATTGTAGGATTCATTGTTACCTGAAACATCGCTTAGATCCTATGTTCAGAAGCAGTAATCAAAAACCAAATCAAATCCCAAATTTCTTAGTCGAAAGATCGTTTCCATGAGTGCGACCAAAAAAATAAAAGTAACATTACCGGGACCGGCGAGACCGATGGCGGAGATGGCGGAAGGTTTAGCATGGACGATGAGAAGCTTAAAGGGGGAATTGGGAGAATAAGGAGCGAAGAAGGGGT